GTAGAGCTCAAATGGCCAAGGTGTGTATGTGTGTGTGTGTGTGTGTGTGTGGGTGTGTGTGCGTGCGTGCGTGAAGACAGACTCTGAATAATCAGAAGGGGAAGCCAGCGTGGAGACATGGAGACCAGCTCAGCCTGAACAACCTCAGTAGAAGTCGGGACAGTGTAAAGGCGTCTCTTAGCAACGTGTGTTACTCTGTACGATGTTGCTGCTAACTGTTTGTGACAACTAGCTCATCTCTAACCATGTCAGCACTCACGGATGTTCCTAAGTTTGGTTTGTGTCCCTGATTTGAATGTGTTGGGTCCATAGAGTGAATAGCTGTTTGAGTTGTTTGGATGTCTGCTACATATAGTGTAAGCATTGTGACTGCAAATAAACCTCATTGATTTTTACAACACTGCTGACTGTGGGTTTGTTCCTCTGGATCTTCACTCTGATCCGCAGCCACTTCAGAAGTGGGACATTTTTCTTTCCTCAAAACCAAAGTTTTCCCCCAGAAACTTGCTGCGCCCTGCGGCTGGTTGGAAGGGCAGTCATTCCTCCAGGGGCCCGTCGGGTTTCTGAGTATAAAATTTTCAATCTGACAGAAAAATTAGAAAATATCACTTGATAATCATGTGTTATTGAAAGATTAACACCTGAACACTAACTATGAAGTCTTAGAAATGCAAACATTTTATATTTTTTTTAAATAAGCAATGCTTAGCCTGGTGGAGGTACAAGTAAAACCTGGCTTATAATACAATGAGGGAAACCCTGCAACACCATTAGGTCCAGGTCTGGGATACACTGGGTTCTGGCAGTCTGGGTCTGCCAGAACCCACAATGCTGTATAGTTCATACTAAATTTGAAACATCAACTTTCAGATGTTTTTTTTTTTTTTCAGCTGTTGATTCCTTCCATCTTTTTCTTGTCAGAAATGTGCAAACTATGCTACTTGGCTGGCAGCTAATTATGATTGAAAAACAGAATTCATCTTATGATTAAAAGAATTAAAACTTTATTAGACAAAAAAGGAGTACATTTTTATCCTTGAATTTTTTTCTTCTTCTCTCCCAACTTTCTGAGGACCCTCAGGGGACCATGGCCCCCGCTTTGAAAAACACTTCTAAAGTGCAGCACCAAGTTGGAAACACTTTGGTTGTTTAACAAAAATAAATAAATCTGTAGCTAGCTAAATCACAGCTGGAGCAACTGATCAAATTTAGTTACCTGATCGTATTCAATGTGAAATGACAAACGAAGTCTGTCTAATCAGCAAGGGCCTTCCAACAATTCAATCTGATTCTCATCAGGGCTCTGTCTACGAATTCTCCCATTGAGCTCGATTTCAACCGGGCCAATCCCCCAATTAAATTATGTTGAAACAAATGTAAAAATGATTACGTGGTAATTAGTTTGGAGATAAAGTAATTTTGCCACTTTCTGAGTTGCAGTTTGTTCTTTTAAAAAGCACTAGTTATTTTTAAAGTTTAAAAAGTTATGACAATATAGCTTGTCATAAGTGAAATTTTTCAGCAAAATCTCCACATTTTCATCAGTGTTAAGAAATATACTTAAAACAATCTATATGTTTCAACTTATTTCAAGTGAACTAAGAGCAGTAGAAACTATACAAAAATACTTGGTAAGATTGTGTTTTTAGTTACTTAGTTTAATTATTTATCATTGCACAAAGACACAACAGTGAATTTGGCAACAAAATGCTTGCATACCAGAAAAAAAATACTGAAAATATATAAGTGGGCCTACAGATATACAAAACTGGTCCAGATAAGAAAAAAAATCAATAAAATAAACATGCTTATATATAAAACCTAGCATTTGATTAAGTGTGGGGTGGGGGGTTATTTGGGCTGAGATATCTGATGGCCAATGGGAGGTCACTATTTGGTTGTTGTACAGCAGATCCTGGAGAATCTCCTGCCAGACGCTAACCATTAGCAACATCAGCTAACTGAAATCTTTTCCTCAGCAGCTTAGTCGGTTCATTCTGCTGATTTCTTCCATCTTCCCTTCTGGAACTACAAACATCAGACTGGACACTGTGGTAAACTGTTTCTTATTTATTCCAATTACCACCAACGTTTTATTTTTGCACAGTTCCATCTGAAGCGAGCGCTGGATAAATCTTAAGAGGGAATATAAAAAAGCTGGATGGTAAACAGCGCTGAGCCGACTGACAACATGCGATGTCTGCTCAGCGCCTGCAGTTCATCTGATGAGGGCGAGCGGGGTGAGACAGGTCCATATTGGTGTTTGCTAGTTGAACTGGAGGCTAGCTCTTTGCCCGTTTGGATGTGAACACTGTGTCGTTGTGGCCTTCTCTGTTTCGGGCGATCTCCACAGCAAAGAACTGGACTCTGGTGGCTGAAATCACAAAAAACACAATATTCACTTTCTGCCCTGAGTGACGCCATTTGGTCCACTGAGACACTCCCAACTCACCAAATATAGTGTTGTCCTCGCTGTAGTCCTTCTCACAGTTCAGGCGCAGCAGGGTGCCGTAGTTGAAGTCCTCTACGATTCCCTCAAACTGGTTGCAGAAGGGGCGCCAGGTCTGGGGGCGCAGCAGTGGGACAACGTTCATATTCACCGATTGGATAAACAAGAAAAATACATCAACAGTTATTATTCATTTTAGATTAATATTTCTTGTTTATTTATATATATATCTATATGTTGATATGACTGAGGAAACAGACTGAAAATCCTGGAATCTGCTGGTACATCTCGCTGTAGCAGAACCAAACTGACCTGCTTGGCCTCGTCTGACTTCAGGTCCTCCTCTTTCAGCCGCTTCACATCCAGGTCTTTGAAGGTCTCTCTGAAACTCGAGTAGATCTGGTCGTCCACCTTCGTCAGCTTCAGGAACTTGGGATCGACGGATGAGATGAGCTGAAAGAGAAGGAGAAAATGTCGGAATCTGGAAGGAAGGCCACGGTGTGATCGGTTCTTAGCGGGGCAGTCGGATCGTTACGTTGAAGTAGACCTCTGCGTGGTTGTAGGCCTTCATCGCCCACATGACTTCAAGTCGGGGCTGAAAGAGCAGAAAGGTGGATCAGTGTTTCACACACACATCCAGTCTGGATATGGCGGAAGACACTCACGTCATTTCCGTAAGCTTCCGCCGGCAGAGATAGAGCGTTTGCAGCTGCCGAGGCTCCCTCCACCCCCTGTCAACAAACACACAAACAAACACACACTGCTGTTAAGATCAGGATGCAGCAGCCGGAGAGGAATCAGAGTGTGTTTCAGTAGATGTGATTCTGTGTGTGTTTCCTGGACCATCAAGAACTTTAACGGAATCGTGCTGCCACCAGTGCAGAGCTTATTTAACACTGCCAGCGGTCTAACAGCCTATGCAGTGGGATGTGTACAACATGGGACTTTGTTGTCATTCAACTGCACATTTACAATGTACTTATTGAGCAAAATGTCACTGCAAGGCTAAAAAAAAAGGTAAATCAAATAAGAAATAAAAACAGAGATGGGAGTGCTGAGATTCCATGTTTATCAGAGTATTTCCCCTTTGCACTGCCTGGGGCAGCTGGAAAAATATTTTTCCAGAGAAGAAGAGGAGAACACTGGTGGGAGGCTCTGCATGGGGCTGCTGCTCATCTGAAGAAGTGGACTCCCTCCCAATTTTTACGAAAACACCATCATGATCCCACAATGATCATGATGGTGATCATTGTGGAGGACTTCAACTACGGCACCCTGCTGCGTCTAGACTGTGAGAAGGACTACAGCGAGGACATTATGAAGACCAGAACGCTGAAATGTTGGACCTGTCATCAGGGGAAACGTCCTCTGAATCTGGACATTTCTCTCAGACCCCTATTTGTCTGCTCCTCACTCACACGTGTTTTCGCTAATTCTCGCGGTTCTTCGCTTAAACTCGGACCCCACTGTGTTTTTCCCACACAGGGACTCCGTGTGCTCTGACCAGGACCAGCTCACAGACAGACACGTCACGCACAGTACATGAAAACACCACAGTTTTTGTTTAAAGTCCTACCAGAGCTGCTAGTCCCTCATGCGACGCCATCTTATTCTAAACAAAGATCGTCTATATGGCTAGATGTATCACTCCAAGTGTCAGGCTTAAACCGGAGTTGTAAAACACCGTCTTTAAATTAGGAGTGTAATATTTTTGTATTCTTTATCACGCTGCCACAAGTAGTCCTGTTAAATGTCTATTTAAAATTCCAGCTACTGGAGTGATAAATTGCTCATTTGAGCACAGAGTGAGTCATCTGAACGTTTTAAGCCTTTGAGTTAAACTATGATACTCCGTGACGTCACGAGACTTCTTCTTCTATTGCATTTACTCTCCCTCGCCCCCTATGGCGCTTTTCTCTCTCCTCAACATGCTTTCTGCTCCCCCCTCAAATTAAATTCAGAAATACTTTATTTATTCCAAATGTAAATTAAATTGAAACTTGTTTCTAATCCACCATCTGCTCCTTGTTCAGTAATCAAGCTCTCCAGTGTATACAACTTATTCTCACTCATTCATTTTTTTTCTTAAATACTTCTACATCAATTCGATGCATCTGGTCCAATTAAACCTCACTTTGACTTGACAAAAGCAGCAGTTTGCATAATTCTTGCCAATTCAACAAATGTTCAGGAATTGACCATGCCACCACTCTCCTGAAAGGAGACCGTCAAAAGTGGCACTTTTACTAAATGTCTAGATAAAAGTCACGCAGTAAAATCTCTTCCGTTTAAGACTGTCTTCTGAATAGTGAACATTTTAATATTTATTCTGCTCGTTGCACGCTGCTATATCAGGCGTCATGGAATGGTGTCATTAGTTTTCTTATGTAATTTTTTTTAGCCAGACTTATGGCAAAAGTGGTTTTCCATAGAGCCCCGCTGTTTGTCGCCTCACTGCTGTAAATGAGCTCGTCCCGTCTCAGGACATCCCGCGCAGGGACAGCAGCCTGGTGACGTAAACAAGCTTGTGTTGTGACTGGTGAGCGTGCGCGAGCTGCAGGAGAACGGAGCGCGTGCCCACTGGGTGGCATTGCTGGTTGTTCTCTTCCGAGCTCATAGTGGACCGGCCCACGACGGAGCAACAGGAAAACAGCCTCCTCTGCTCCTCCTTCATCGCCCCGAGCGGCTCGGCTTCTCTGCTGGATGTTCTCACTCTGAGTTCGGGGCCGCTGTTTCCAGGTAGGACCGTCTTCAGCCTCTCCTCCGTCTGTTCTTTCACCAGTCCTTCCTCCTCTCTCGTCTCCCGCATCCCCGCGTCGCGCACATGACCCGCAGCATCCTCCGCGAGCCTCTTATTCACCGTCGTTTATCGCCGGAAAAAAAACCAAACGGAGATTGTTTGCGCGTGCAGGTGAAGATTCCGGGCCTCGTCGGCCGGGGTTCTGCTCGGGTGGACCGAACAAAATGAATTAGACGCGTTGAAACGCCACTTTAGCAGTGCATTGCATCTAATTGGGAGGGGAAGGCCTTCACATGGGCTTTTGTCTGGTTCGAACATCAGAAGATGTTCACCCTGCTGCTGCTGTCACCAACCGCAGACCTGGACGGGATCCGTCCTGATGGCTTCATGGGAGGTTGGCTCAACTCATTCATGCTCAATTCAGGTTTCAGGGGATGATAGGTTACAGAATCATCTAAAATATTATTAGCCATCCACATAAAACTGCTTTGTAATATTTATTCATTTAATGTGAAAAGTTCAGGAGAGCTAAAAGAACAAAATATAGAAATTGTTCTTAACTATAAAATTTTAACCTTCATTTGCTTTCACTCAAAGCGTCAAAAACTAAGGTCAAAAGAACCAAAAGTTGAGTAAAATCAATCATAAAAGCTGCAAATCTTCCTCATGAGATACCAAAGGAGCTCTTGAAAACACATCTGCTGATTCATTTCATTTTTTATTTATCAAAGACAGATCATATGCATTAAATTGTCCCAAATCTCATCTGCTTCTAAAATCTAAACCCACTCTTGATTATTTTCAAACACATTATCTAACAAAAAGGTGTTTAAACATGGTGACTGCTGGGATATTTGTGAAGCAGAACTGAAAGGTCATTTGAACTATAAAGAAAAAAAAAATCTGTCTCTTTTAGTGCAGAGTTGAAGCAGACAATCTTGTTTTAATCAAATTAAAAGTAAGAACATACATTTTTCTCAGCTTTTTATGCTATGAAAATAAATGAAACAGATGAAGCAACTGTGTTTTTAGTGGAGTACAGGATTTCACCATAGATACTGACCAAGCTGGGCCCATTTGTTGAATGGGCCCAGAAATGTTGTGGGAAACATCCTTCCTTCCTGACTTTGTACATTCAGCTGGTCTCATGTAAGTGTGTGTCCCATTATGGCACACACACTGTCAGCTGAGCTCCATCACTGGCTTTCTGGCAGCTAAAAGCTCTCAGTGATAAGACTATCAGCCGTACAGACACCCAGACAGCAGCTGCTTAGATGACTGTCAGACACACTTCACACACACACACACACACACACACACACACACACACACACACACACACACACACACACACACACACACACACACACACAGACACACACAAATTATTACTCAGTAGTTTTACCCACTTTACAGTTACCAGCTACAGGTTACTGTAAACTTATTGGCCCAAACATGTCTTTGTTGCTTCACTTTTGGTTGTTTTAACCCTTAGTATATAAAGGAGAAACAACAGGGGATCAATATTCCTATTGATTATAGATTATTTAAACGACAATCTTCTGCCAGGACGGGGTTCACCCTGGACAGGTTGCCAGTCCATCACAGGACAATGCAACCCCGCACCTCACACTTAAAGGAAGTTTAAAGATTCTAAGTAATACATGGATGTTTTTGACTGTTTCCTGTCGGTGGAAACCAGAATACCCAGGAAGAACACACACATGCACAGGGAGAACATGTGAACTTCATACTGAAAGACCCCAGTCTGGGATTTGAACCTAGAACATCCTTTTGCAAAGCACCAGTGCTACCAGAAGTGCAGTCACACAAATCAAAAGAATTAATAAAATTTTTGAAATGACCAACAAATACAGAAAAAGTGCTATTGAAACAATTGGATTAAATAGTGACAACAAAAAATTACAGAAACAAAAAGTTGCCCACAGAAAACAAACTGAGGAGAAAGATCCCAAGCTGCGTAAGAGCAGCTGGGATTTGTGTGTTACTGATGCTTACAAGACGTGATGCTCTGACACACAATTAGGGCTGCCTGCAATTACTTTAGTAATCGATTATTCTGTCAATTTTTCTGACAATTAGTTTGTCAATTGGGCTAACAAATTGGCACATTCCACACGTTTTTCATTCAATCACTTATCCCTTTTGTATATAGTAGAAATACATTAAAATATGCAAATAACCAAATTCCCTTTTTAAACAAAATCAACATTTTACTGCCCAAAATGCATTAACAGTATTCCTTTAATGAACACTTGATCATTTGTAGCAAAGGATGCAACTGTAGCTAAAACATCACCATGTGAAACACTCTGGCATTTCTTCTGAAGTTAACATGAACCAGGTGAAGCTAAAACTCCCAATTAGTTCAAAAGATATTTACACACAAAGGTTTTTTTTTTCTTTTTTTTAACTCAATTGCAAAATGTAGATGTTTTTTAGTACAGTTTTGACTTAATTATGATGCTGAGTGTTATTTTTTAAGCAAATGAGTGTTTTGAGTTTGCATCAAACAGTTAACAATTAATTGATTACTAAATTAATTAATGATTATTTCAAAAATCAATTCATATTTAATGCAGTTCATTGTTCCAGCTCTGCACAGAAGCTAATTGTTTTCATTTTTATGCTAACTTGAGCTAGCATTGAGAGTTTAGCTTTAATCCAACAGTTTGAGATGGATTCCTACCCCAAATGACCTCCTTAGCATCAAACACATCTTTTGTTTCTTTCCTCCTCCAGCTCTTCTTCTCCCGATAAAGTGTTTGTTTATGGAGGTGCTTGTTCACCATGAAGTGTTGTGGTATTTTGGACAGACAGTGTCTGGTGAAAGCTGCTTTCCGGTCTGCTCGGGTCGGGTTCAGGAGAGGACGGCTGGGAGCTTCTCTCTGGCTGATACCTCAGCAGCTTTGGGCTGCAGACATGAGCTTCTGATTGCTGCTGGCTGTGTGCCGTCGTCCCTCTGGAGGGAGGAGTGTAACCACAGCAGTAACTGTTGAGGAGCGCCTGGGCGTTGGCCCGGCTGGAGGAGCTGATAAACAGGAGGGGAGGAGGGAGGCAAATAAAAAAAAGCTGCTCACAGGAAGTCTGGAAGCTTTAACCTCCTGGCGAAGCATTAGTAGACAGGCCCTCATGTTCTTAACATATAAGGTGTAGTTACTGTGAACACCTCCCCCCGCCACCACCACCCTGAGCTGTCCCTAGAGGAAGCTCAGATAACAGCCAGCCCTGCAACTGACTCAATGGCGTCTCAGCCTCCTTGCCCCATCATGTCCTCTTCACCTCAGGGACAAACTGTCCATGTGAGAATGAAGGTTTGAAACTGGAGCGCTGGTAACACAGCTAAGATGGAGCACATCATCCACAAATGCTGCTAAGCAAGGCGTTTAGCAATGACTTATGGCTGGGTTTGTGACAAGATTATAGGAAATACTGTTGAAATTTTAAATCAACAGAGCATCACTTCAATGTTTTTCTTGTAAGAAACTAAACACACACACGTCATATTTAGTCCTATTAGGTTTTGTCAACATCATGTGTCTTATTCATAGGCACGTCAACATGTGGCAGGAAGGACCTCAAACGGTAATTCTAGAAAATAATTTTCTAGAATTACTGGTCTGATCATGTACAAAATGAGCCAAGCTGCAGAAATAAAGAATTGCAAAGTGTAAATAACAAAATTACACCTGCTGCTAGTGTTGAGAATAAAACATTAACTGGTTGATTTGACTTTGAATCCAGTTGAATGTACTGACAATACTTGCAATTAACATGCTCAGTTCTGATACAAAACCAATATTCTAATGCCTGATTAAAACCTGAAGCAGTGGAGACTTCCACCACCACTAGATGGTACAGACGGTGGTTACCACAGAGATTGAATGCAGTCTGGTGTAGATTGCTAACCTAATCACTGATTTCTATGATAGTTTGCTGTTTGGTGTCAGGAGGCGCTGCTCCTCTTTCATCAGAAGTTTCCTTTTGTTGATGTAGTTGTGTTATCACTCCTGCTAGAGGAAAATGTCCTTTGGTAAGAGTTGATGGTTCTGGGTCGTTTGTTATTGAGAGATGTGGACTCAAATAAATTTTGCCAAATATTCATGTTTGACCATGACATATGTAATATGCCAGATTGACAGCACTGAAAATTGCCTGTGTTGTAAATAGCCATCCTCCACTGCTAAGAGAGAACAGATATGAGAGAATAGCTGATCTGAACGAGGTTGTTAATATGAATTTATTGTTTGTGCAACATGGACTGAACAGTTTTGTTCACTTTCTCCACCGCCATTGCTAAAACTACAGGCAGACTGCAATTATAAAACAATGCTGAAAAGCAAAGTCACTGATTGGCCCCGTTGAAATTCTTCTGGAAGAATTCAGGTCAATGGGAGAAAATCCAGGCTGACCACTGAAGTGAGATGAGATTATTAGGACAGCAATGACCAGAATAAGTTGAAGCCTTTACTGGTTGAAACATGTTTGGTAGTCCCGGAAGTTGTCCAATGTGATGTTCAGCTGGTATAAAATGTTAACCCTTCTTCTACCATTTTTTTCTTTCTCCCTGCCAAATTATAAGGGAAGGAATCAAAAATGGATATTCTGTTAGTCAGCCATCCTTTCAATCAGTCTTTGTCATGAACACATGGTGAATGCATTCTTCTATCACAAATGGTTTTAAGTAACTGTGCCTCTATTTTGCTTCCTGTTTTTGGTTAAAACCAGGCTGTTTTGCAGTTGGAGAAGAGCAGAGAGCTTTTTAAAATCTCAACCTTCACGATGTTTAGCTGTGGGAAGAAAATGACATTAATATGCTTCTCATGCAGAATCAGGATCCAGATGAGTCAGTCCAGAACTCATTCATGCTAAAATGTCAGGCTCTGGTGGCATGTTGGGTGGAAGGGAAGATGTCACTGACTCTCTGTCTGTGCTCCTATCCTCCCCCAGCTGGTTTAAACTGAGCAGAAGGGCAGAGTCTCTACAGCCATGCAAAAGGTAAATCATCTTCCTGTATTATCAGTAACAGTTGAAAGGGAAAAAAAATGTTTGGGACTTGTGAGTTTGGAAACAGTTGAAACATCAGAATGTTTCTGACTGTTCTTGCAGGTGGAGGGACGTCTAACTCCTGTTAACCTTCCATCATCTAGGGGCCCGAGTGCACCGGGGTCTCCTGCCACTGGCATCATGGTAAATACAACACAGACATGTTCCTTCTTTGATTTGGAAAAGTTGACATCTCTGTCAGTTTTCCTCTGTGTGCAGGACCTGAGTAATGTAGCTTCAAGCTTAGTTCTGGGTTTTATTATCAGAAATGCTTCATAGCCTACCTGAGTCTATCTCAGAGACTGTATGCTGCAGACCTAGCGCTCTCCAAAGCCTACAACAGCATACAAATTGCTGTTGTTGCTGAAATTCCTTTATTCTCTGACTGCAACACACTCCTCTTACTCGCATTGATACACTCTGTGTGTGTGCATGTGTGTGTTTAGGCTCGTCTGAATGACCAGATGGTTGGCTACAAAGACCTTGCGGCACTGCCCAGAGATAAAGCCATCCTGCAGGTGGAAAGGCCTGACCTGATGACCTATCAGCCCCACCTGAGCTTCTCACCACTCGACCCGCCACGCAGAGAGGTACATGCACACAGACGCACACGCACGCACACATTACATGGATAGCAGTAATGGGAGACCTGTTAACTTTGCATGCATAAGAACACTTAGACTGCTCTATAACCTTAATGTTTCTTCAGGTTTGGAGAATTAGGTCTCCATACCAGAGTTGTCAACCATTAAGTGGTTATGTTTTTGTCTTTACAGCGCTCTCTGTCCCCTCCTGCCATGTCTCCCTCCAGGTCTCCTGAGGTACGATCTGCTACAAGCTGATTAGATGCTACAGTTTATGTCTTCCTCTGATGTGTTTGCTTCAGATTAAGTCTTGAATCGTAACTTGTTTGTTCCCACTGTCATCACTGTTTTCTGCCTTAAGTCAATGGGTGAGAGGCAGGATGCACCTTGGACAGTTCAACTCCAGACAGAAAACCATACATGCTCCCAGTGATCATTTATTGTAGTGCATGTTTTTGAACTGTAAGGAAAAAGCTGGAATTAGAAAAAAATGAATGTGACCATAAGAACATACAGCAAGGCCCCAACTTTGATTCAAGTCCACGACTTTTTTGTTGCAAGACAACTATGGCATCATACTTTGCACATATACATAAAATATTTATAATAATATCCACACAGAGATATTCAAGTTTCTGCACAGTGTGCTAGCTGTGTGTTTGATTGGACCTGTTTGGGCATTGTCTAACCATAAGTTTAATTTCCTAACCAGTTGCCAGTGGTACATCCTGTGCAGCAGGACAGTAACATTTCCTGCTTCTCCTCTGCTTTAATACGTTTCCATAAACATTGTCTTACCATTTCTGATATTCCAGGAATATTTTCTTGCTGGATGGTGTCTCAGATCTTCTTCACTGTATGCATACCTGATGCCAGCCTCCTGGTTTTGATTCAAAGACAAACTGTGACAGAATTTCAAAGAGAAAAAACTTTACTTTTGATACCACAGGAAATGTTTCATGTTTCTTTTTTGGGGCTAGTGGAGAGGTTACTAGTTTCTTTTATTGCTTCAGTGTTAAGGATCAGTCAGAGCTGTTGGCTCATTAAGATTTTCCTTCAGTAGTTGGTACCACAGTAGATTGGAACACTGTGGGGTTCAGAACTTTGCAAGTAAGAAGCAGATCCCGACATGAGAGCACAAACCGACAGATTACCATAATAGCTCTCCGTGTCCATGTAGCTAAACAGGTAGCATTAGTGTTAGCTTTAGCTTATATCATCTGGAGGCTAAGTGCTTCACTGTTGCAGATGCAGTTTTATTGACTTTTTTAAGTTGCTGTAGCATTAGCTTATAGTACTGCACAGTCAGCATGTGGCATCCTTCAGGACTTTATTTCTTCCTGTTTGTCTCCAAGAAACCTCCAAACACATAAATATTTGGCTTTATTTGAGCCTTATCAGCTAAATAGGCTACTACGTGAACATGTTTTTTTGAGGGGGTGGGGGACTGCTTTTTAAACATCTTATTGTTTTCTAGTAAATTGACATTTTTACCATTTGTTTGTAGAAACTGAATTTTGACAGATTTCTTGTGTGTCTGTAACTCCTGCTGTATTCAGTCTTACTGCATGTAAATGAGTATTTTGGTCAAATTTTGTTTTGGTCATTTTGTGACGTTTCACACAGTAGATGACCCTCTGGAGACCGTTCTGATTGTCCCATGCCTCACTGGAAGGTCTTGCCCTCAGCTGTTTGGTCGTTTCACTCATTCAGATTTTTTTCATCAGATTCTTCAGCATCAATTGCTGCTTTGTGTTTCTCATAAAGAAATGTGACACTGATTTGGAGATTGCCTGGGGGGCCAGGAACTGAAGCAAGTGGAAAAACATGACTTATGTTTTCCATCAATAGAACTCTTCAGTCCATAGTAACTGTAACATATAACAGCACTTCTGTTTTGGAGCTGAGCGTCATTCTCACAAAAATGTGTTGAGATTTCCACAAGACTTTTGAACAAATTCCACCACAAATAATTTGTGACTGAATTAAAAACACCATAAACCAGTGTAAACAGGTCAAAGTTTCGTGTCAAAGTGTTGGACACTTTTTGACTATTGGAAATGCTTTTAATTGCCCAGAATGCATCTGTAGTATTGTACTGTAGCCATCCCAAGGATATCTCTGCAGCGAGGTCGTTCTCGATATTGCTTCCTGCAACATTGGAGGGAACCAAAGTGTTTAATCTTGTTCCTGCTTCCTGTATAGGTGAAAGGTCGCAGAGCAGAGAGCGACAGTGGCTCCCCTGGAGGATCTACGCTGCAACTGCAAGCAGGTCGCAAGATAAGCACCAGCCTGCAGCATTTCCATCGACCAGGTAGCTAGTGCGCACACACATACAAACACACTCGAACACACATAATAAATGTGTCTATTTTCTGGATTCCTTTCTGACTCCATCCCGAGAACGTCTGCAGTGGTGTCTTTGGGAAAGGATATAGATGAACGTATATAAAACCCTCAATACTCATTAAAATGCTTGTATGAGGTATCAAACTGTAAAAGCAGCAAATACATATTGGGAGGACATGTTGTCTACTTTGATCTTGGAAATTTAAATCTTACATTTAAATAGCCTTTTTATTTATTTATTTATTTTTTTTGAGCATGCAGTTCCTCTGTCATCAACCATGGGGCGTTGCAGCAACTTCCCATCACAACTCTAAAGTAAACCCAGCTCAAGCTAAACACTAAGCACAGTATCAGTAAATTCAGTGACGACATTTTTTCTAGGTAGTGCTCAATCAATGAATTATATGTTGTTGTTTTAACAATTTAATATTTGTTTAGCAGTTCTTACTGATATGTGTGTGGTGTTGAATAAACACTTCTGCTGCCACAGACTGTAAATATGATAAATCTGTTCTTCTCTTGAACTTCCAGATAACGGCTCCAACATCTACAGGAAGCCTCCGATCTACAAACAGGGTGAGCTCTTGTTTCTCTCTGTCGCTTTTCTATGAAGCAGTTGTTGCTGCTGTTGTCACTCAGCTACTTCCCTTCTTTGCCCCGCAGACCTTAACAAACCGTCAGAGGGCAGCGGGGTCATTCAGTCTGCCAAGTTCCCCGCCGCCCAGCCTCCAGACCCCAACCAGCCCTCCAAGATTGAGACAGAGTACTGGCCCTGCCCACCTTCACTGGCTGCTATGGGTAACACACACACACACAACACACACTTATCATTCCTACACTTATCATTCCCACTCATGATGAGCATTTTTAACAATGATGACCTTCACAGAGATCGAGTGGAGGAAGAAGAAACTTCAGGAAGAAGATGAGTTCGAAGATGTGACAGAAGAAGAGCAGGAGCAGGAGCAGGAGCTGGAGAAAGTCTGGACCCCATTCTGACTGTTTACATCATTTTAAGCTGATTCAATAGATCTGATTTGTTTTTGTTTGAGTTTTGTTTTTTACAAGTGGAGAATCAATGTAGAGCAAATGATAACTCTTAAAACTGCATTTAGGTAGAAACTTTCACTGTGAATACTTTTTATGTCACTTTATCTTTGACTGTTTTGACTAACATGCTGAAATTCTTTTGAGACATCAAACCGATCTTAGTATCAGATATAATGATATTTAATATTTAATATCCAATATAACCTGACTAGATGTCAAAAGCTTTTACAAAATGATGAGAGAACAACTTTTTAAACCATTCTGGCCTTTTGTGGAAATCAGAAACATTAGCTGCACAACCAGTTCTAATGTCTGGAAGAATTTTTTTTTTAATTTCAGCAGTATGCATTGTATTACAAACATAATTGAAGTATTAGTGTGTGCACTGTTAATATTTCAAAGGCCAGCTATGATGCAGTGTTTGGTAGGATAACCTGTTAGAAATGTCATGCATGCCAACAACATAGTTAGCTGTTGGCTGGATTCTCACCTGTAGTGGCCAAAATTTTCTCAAAGGATTCTGGGAACAGTTTCATGAACTGAAGGGATAAAAAGAGACACTATTGCAATTGCATGTTTCAGCCTGTATGTAGAATTTTGACTTGGATGAGTGAAAAACCCCAATAACTTCTAGCTTATGCCTCAAACTGTTGTCTTAAGAAATGTAGAAAAATGTTGAATTCAGGCTGCTGAATAATTACCCTGGAAAATAGCAGCTCAAAGGCTGCATGTATGTAAGCTTGTGAGCAATGCTGGAAGTGTTCTGCTCTTCCTCCACCACCGGCTGTGTTCTGTCTGCAGATCAAGTCCAACCTGGGCCGTCTGATCCTGAAGGAGGAGAAGGAGAAAAGCGTTCACATCAGGAGGAAGACACAGTCTCTGCCAGACAGAACACACATGCACAGCAGTGAGTCCATCGATTGCCTCACATGTCTCCGCTCCAGCTGAAGAACCTGTCAGACCCCACGTTGTTTCCCTCTCCTTAGCAGGTGTGTCAGCAAGTGCATCAAAGTCTCCGTCCCGCTCCGCCCTGACCAGAGTGAGTGTTGCCGCTGGCCTTCAGGCCGGCAGGGTCAGACAAAAGCCTCCATGTTTGCTCCTGGTATCCTGAATGCTTCCTGTTCTGCTATCCTTAGATGCAGTCGGCAGAGTTTTCTACAGACGGAGATAAAGGACGGCCAGGTGGGAGCCTTTTAGCACAACCTGAAAACAACAGCAGTCCAATCAGATTGCTTAGGTGCAGAAATGGACCCTCAGTGGACAGAGAGAAACCTCTTTGTTGTCCATTGCTGCTGTTTGTGGATGTTGCTTGTTAATCAGATTTAAACATATCCAGAGCAGGAGCCAATACAAAGGTTCCTGCTCTGGACTTAAGCATGTAAATAGACAAATTACTATTAATTGCGTTTAAATTTTGTAGCTACGTAATTAAATGTATATATAGGCACTTTATACGTCTTCTGTTGGTGTTGTTATAGCAGCAAAAGTAGAAGCTAACCTTTGAACCACAAACTTTTATAAGGTTTATAAACCATCCCTTCTGCATCCCAGCTCTATACTGGCTCGTATTAGATTATTAGTGGTTGGAACATATCCATACTACATATGGGGTGTGAATACTTTTGCAAGGATCTATATTTACATGGGAAGTTTCAGGGACACCTCTAGTCCTGATGAAACTCTGTGATGATGACTTCCTGTTCTCAACCTCTCTGTGTCCTTTCTCCTTCTGTCCTGGTGTCCTGCAGCGGCTCAGGTAAGTGTATGTTCATGTGTGTGCTTATGTGCATGGCCATGTCAACGTCCTGCTGCTGACCTGCTGCACCAATCGTTTCACACCATGTTTCTGAACCACTTCTGAACCAGTCTGAACCCCATTTGTCCAGCTTATAATGGATGGAGTGTGAGGGAATACTTAAGCTTAAAGAAACAACTCTTTACTGTTAAGATGCTCATTTATTTGGTGTATAAAAGTGCATTCATTAATTGCTTCAGTTCAACTTTTCAGTCAGTATTTGCTTTTCTAATTGAGTCATCATTTATTTACAGTGTTATATATCTCGGTGTTCAGTTCTTTCCCAGCTTTCTGGTTTTCTGTCTCATGTTCAAGAGAAGAATCTAGCTGAGAAATGTTTTTTATTTTTGGCTTTAAAGCAAACTTAACTTTAGGGCTGACATAATTAATTGGATTAATCAGATTAATCATGATGGTTATTGATTTTTTAAAATAACCATCAACTAATTAAGTAATGGATTAATCATCAGCTGTAGTGTACAGACTCTAAAAATGGTCATTTCCTGAAAGAACACATTCAGAACAGCAATTAATTCAAAACTGTACAAAAATACATACATTTTACAAAGACATCGTTTTCAGTAAATATGTTCCATCCAGAACTCAAGTGTCACTTTTAGTTTCACCCGCTTCAAATTCTGCAAGAATAAACAATCTCCTATCAAGTACATTTTGCTATCCAATTACTAATTAATTAATCAGAGAAATAATCATCAGACCAGTCCCACACTGTGTCCAGCAGAAAGGCCTGAGCTTCACGTGTTGATGATCAAAGTGTTTCTTTAGCTGCAGACGCATCGTTTGTACAATTGATCAAGCGATGCTAAATGAATTCTGTTATTGCATTTTATACAATAAAATTTATATTTTAAATTAGGAGAATTATTTGCATCTTTTAATGTATTTTTAATATTGCATGAAATATGCTTAAGCAATTAAATAAAAAATCTACAGATTGTGACAATTTTTTCTCTGATTGAGTGTCAGAATAATCAATCAACAGAATAATTGATAAAGCAATGGATTATTAAAATAGTTGTTAGTTGCAGCCCTACTTAACTTATTTTTGTGTAGCAACACAAGCAATCATTCTTTTACATTTAAATTATGATATAAAACATCTAGTTTCTGACACATTAGACTTGACGGGAGCTGCAACATGCAGTCTGGAGAGAAACTGCAGGAAACGATAGCTAACCTTTAGCTTTAGCTGCTTCAGAACCTAACAGGAATCTAACATGTGACTCTGCTCAGCTTCCTCTGCCATGCTCTTTGTGTAGCTTATATTTTAGCAGCTATTGGACAGGGTGTGTCTGAAATGTGTGTGTGCGTGTGTGTGTGTGTGTAGAATGGAGAGAGCCGGAGAGATCGCATGGATAGAGGGAATTCCTTGCCGAGCATCCTGGAGCAGAAGGTGAGGCCTGCTGAAAGGGTTAAATCCAGACCAGCCTCTGGGTCTGTGTTCATGAACACTGATTTCAGAGCAGCAGTTGGACAGGGTGTGTCCAATAGCCCTGTCCAATAGAGCTATTAAGGCTTTTAATAGCCCTATTATTAAAGCTTTTGCATTTTAAAATCTAAAGTCACTTTAGCAGCAATTAGGAGAAACAGGAAACAAATTTGTACCTTATTGGGTGATTGGTAGAATGAAATTCAATAACTGAGAAGATGGATTGTAAGATTTTACTGCCTTCTAAGAAACAAAAAGTACAAAACGCATTTCCTATACACATCAATGCTTTGAGTTAAATTCTTCAGAAACAAATTAAAAAGAAACTTTTAACATGTTTAAAGGGAAACAAGTTAGAAAGTAAAGGAAACTACATTTCCCTAATCTTCTTTCCGTTGCTGATGGAAATGTAGAACTTATAAATAGTAACTAATACTTTCACACAAACACATGCGCACATACACCTAGAGCACAAAAAGCTTTAAGGGTGTTGTCAGGTTGCAAATATGAACTTATTCCACTGAGATTTGGAGAGTGTCTGTGAATATTAATGTTCCAGTCCTGCCACAGTGCAGACTGCAGACTGGATCTAGATGTGGACTTTGACTAGCCCATCCTAGCATAAGAATGTCTTCTGCAGCCTCTATTAGGAGTTCTTCTGTATATCCATCCATCTGTCCATCAGCTCTGGCCAGCTTCCCTGTTTCTGCTGAATAAAAGCATCCCCACAGCATGATGCTGCCTCTATCATGTTTCATAGTGAGGATGGTAACATTTCAGTCTCCTTTGAGCAGACCACCTTCCTCCACATGCAAACAATCTTCAAACAACTTTTATAAACCACATATTTTCATTACATATTTGTCATAACTGTCAACATGTTTTCTCAGCACAACATGATCTATGAAAAAGATCCAACTCCTTCTGCAGTCCTTCTGCCATCTACAGAAATACGTCACTCGGTCAGACATGACCAATCAGAGCCAGGAAGTGGGTCTTAGCGCTGTCAATCATCCTCATTTACTCTCTGCTCAGATCCTCCCCCCTGCTCTCATCATTACATTTCCTGTAATGGTGAGTTGTCTCTCCACCATTAGGAAATTGAGCAGCGAGTACATGAACTGATTGACAGCACTAAGGCCTGGCTTTGATTGGTTGTTTCTGAGGGAGTGGTGCATTTCTTCAGACAGTAGTAGTCGATCAGGGAGGAGATATTTTTCACAACTTGTTTGTCTCATATTACACTGTGGTGACAATTTTCACAAATATGTGAAAAGTTGATTTTTTTTAATAAAAGTTACATCCTGCATCTTAATGCCTCTCCATACTCTCCTGAAGTGGATTCAACCATGACACAGAATAAATCCCATTAAACACACTGAGGTTTAGCTTCAGCCATGTTCCGCTTCCATTTTGACTGTATTAAAGGAAGGGAAATGACGGCCGAATCTTCTGCTCTTTGTTCAGATTTATCCATATGAAGCCCTGATTGTGACCCACAGAGGGCGCTGTAAGCTGCCCCCTGGAGTGGACCGGACCCGGCTGGAGGTGAGCATCCGCCTGCTGGTGGCAGCTTAGCTTGTGAAAACAAAATAAAATGAATCAAGCGCACTGTCAGGGCTGTTCAAAGTGTGGCCCATGAGACGATATTGTTTGGCCCCTGACCACAATTCAGGAATAGTAAAAGATAAAAATTGAATTTGCAAACAAAATAGAAAATAGTTTCCAAACAAGTCATTTGGAAACTGTCAGTTTCCAGATTTAAGGTAACAGTCCGGAGTCTATTTAAAGTTGTGGATCTTTAATGATATACACAATTCAGAAAAAAATGTGTTTATTGTTGCGCAGATAAAACTCATTTTTGCTGTTTTAAATGAATGGATTTAGTGACCCCCTAATAGTTGAAACTGACCAGTCTTGGCCTCCAGGGCTAAAGGTTTAGATTAAAACTCGTCTGCTAGCTGAAGGCACTTTAACCAACTCAGGCCCTTCCTGTCCTGACAGAGGCATCTGTCCCAGGAGGAGTTCCAGGAGGTGTTCGGGATGCCCATTGGCGAGTTTGACCGTCTGTCATTATGGAGACGAAATGAACTGAAGAAAAAAGCCTCACTTTTCTAACAGGAAGTGACCTAATTACTAACCAATACTTGATGAAGCCTCTCCTCTGCAAGGAGGAGGAGCCAAAGAACAGGCCATAACGTCAGCTATCCAATCAGCAAATCAGCAGACCCCTCCCCACCAACATGAGCCCCCTCCCTCCTTGGAAGACTGGATTAGAACGTCTGCTCAGTTCTGCTCAGTTCTGCTCAGTTCTGCTCAGATCTAAACTTAAGCGATGCTCTGACATGTTACCAGTACTGCACTTATAACCACCACTGCTTGCAAACCATTCCTATCATATATCCTCCACCGTCATCATCACAACCATTGTTAATCTGACAGTCAGTCTCAGAGTTACACTTCCAGAGGTCACCATCTTGAAGTGAGATCAGCCGTTATCTTTAGGAGGAACTCAGGTCTCCTGGTACCGTGAAGCTGCTGCTAATCTGTGTGTTCAAAAGAGGCCGACTGCTGACCAGTAGCTGCTTCCTACTGCAGTCCCTCAGTCTGTTAAACCTCTTCTATCTCCATCCAAGACCTGTTGTTGTGTGTTACACGTGCTTTCCTTCCCCTTTATTCTAACTGTGTGGTACTTTAAGAGTATTGGTTTTTTCTCTCCTGGAGAGGCAGCTTAATGTCTTCCTGCAGATGCTTGAGCTGGCATTACTGTCTTATTTTGCCATGTATGTTGGCATATCTAAAGTCCAGTCTTTATAGGTTAAAACGTAAACAAATGAACATCAAGTCCTTTCTTGTCTATAAAGGAAATGTGTTGTATGGAGTGTGTGTTAGGATGAAGAATGTTACTATGCAAGGACCAAGTTGTATAAATGTCAAACCTTTTATTTTTTCCGTAGTTAATGAATATCTGACCATCTTAGGATGACGTGTAACGATCTATAGTCAGTAACACCACAATGATTATGAGCTGAACTGATCAGAAAGTTGCTTAACCTGCCATCCTGTTGGAGCTTTTTTGAAGATTCAGCAAACTGAGAGTCTGCATGATGTAACATGAGATCAAGTCAAATTATTATATGGATAAGCTGTATTGAGTATAAACTTATTTAACTTCTGCATAATATACGAATGGTGTCTCAGAACTGTGAGTCTAATGTCATGAAATATTGTTCAGAAATGTTGTAACAAGCCAGTTGAACTGTAATAGATGTGGAGAGGTGATTGCTGTCCAAGCTGCACATCTTTATACACCATAGAAACTCAAGGTAGATATGGAACAGTGTGGTGGATTTATAAATCAGAACCACACATCATGACTTTACAGGAAAATCACAGAAATGTCAGATTTTTTTTTACACAGGAACCAACCCATTTATTGATATTGAAATATTATCACATTATTCTAATCACTTTCAGTACCATATATTTTCAGGTATTAGGTCTTTCTGATTGTCACACTTTAAAAAACAGGAGGGAAAAAAAAGCAAAACAAGCATGTGAATGCACTTACTTGTAAAGAAAACTTACTAATAATGAGCTTCTGTTGTATTACTAAAAAAATCCTAAAATCCAAAAGTTTAGCTGTTGTTAGTGAGCTTCTTTAACTTGTCGAGGTTTTTGAGAGATTCCTGCTCTGTGAACTCTTTGCTGGTTCACTGAGCCAGCTGCTTTAACATGTGAGGACCTCACCTTTAACTCAGCTTCTGAATTGAAGTCAGTAATATTCAGATGAAGCCTGATGCACATAGCTACCAGGAGAACCTTGTGGAGTTTTATCATACAGTTAGAAATGACCAAAATTGATTGGACTGCTGTGTTTCTATTAGGATCCAAAGTGTTTTGTGTTAGTAACACCCAGAACATCAGTGGGCCACTCTGACTGGTACTTCAGTAAGTGTAGATATGCTTTAATTTGACCTTAACTGTATTATTATTATTAATAGTAGTTGCAGTAGTAGTGGTAGGTGGTAACAGTGTTAAATGCATGACCCTAGAACTAAAAATAATATTCTGCAGTCAGCCTAATTCCAAACATTGACACATTAAAACAAGCTAACTTGTTGTCCATTAAGGATCCAACTTTAGAAAAGGAAGATTTTTTTTTTCCTCTGAATAAAAACACTGGCCTTTAACATAATACAAGGTAAGAAGGTTAGAAGAACATTTTCAGGTTGTTTGAAAGCTGGCTACGACCTTGAGCAAATGTCCCTGAATGTTTTATGAGTAAAGTAACAAAACAAAATGTTTGAGAAACAATAAAACAAGGTTCTTCTGTTGCCCTAAAGTGAACGATGGAAGTGGAAGAAAAGTTTCACAGACACAGAATCACTCAAGGTCACTGAGTGATTCTGGTTGCTGAAGTTGTCCTTTCCTAAATGCTTTCTCTTTTCATGTTTTTTACCTAACGCTCACATTATCTCACCAGGACAGTGTCTCTCGTTATCCAAGCTAAGGTCAGAACTGAGCGATAGAACTGAACTGGGTCACAGTTTGTAAGGGAACAGGTGGAAATCTACCTGCAGTTTGGTTGTAATATTAAGATTTTCTCTGTGACATTGTAGTTCACAGGCAATCCAAAAGAGAGCGCTCTAAGATTTAAAGAAGCCATCCTGCCTGCTTGAACTCAATGAAACTGGAAGCAGCTTCATGGTACCAGTCCAGTCTCTTCCTGATCCAACTCTGACAGCTTCCTCCTCTATAATAACTTGAATGACGGCCGACTGAAGGAGACTCCGCCTCGTTCAGAAGCCGAGTGTGAATTTATTTATTTCAGGCAGCTTTATTTATAGATTGTGTTTTTACTGTGAACCATTTTTGTTGGAGACTATAGTCCTTTTTTAATGAGCACTAATGTTAGTATTAATCACATAAAGGGGCGGTTTTTGCTCATTAGGGTGTCACTGGAACCTGTGCTCAGTTTGTGTCATATGGCTCAAATAAATCTGTTGAACTGAAAACTTGTTTTTGGCGTCTTTTCTTTAATTCTGTGTCCAGGTCATTAGCTGAACTCAGATCAGTTCACCTTGGTGAGTCTTCTTCACAAGTCTCATCACAGACGTTGTGTTCAGAGTATTTTCTGACTTGTGTTATATTTCTACAGAGCATATTTATTTTGGACATCATTTTGTTTTTCACAGTGCAGAACATTCTCAACAGGCTCTTCGCCTGAAGAGCCTGAGTCTGATGAGCCTGAAGAGCCTGAGTCTGATGAGCCTGAAGATCTTCATGCGATGTTGTAATTTCTAACATAATGAACAGGTTTCCATTACTTATAAGCCGTAGTATCCAAACTTAAAAGACAAAACTACGACTGCATAATGACACTCTTTGATGTCGTCTTTGGATTCCTGTCTCTTCGCTGCCTCATCGTTCCATCCTGCTGGAATTGGTTTTTCAAACGGTCTAGAAAACGAATGTCAATCAGAAATGAAACCTCAGAGCTGGTTGTGGCCAAACGTATTGATAAAACAAGAAATCAAACTGAAAATAATAAGCAGCTGCCTCTGAAGTTAAATTCTGAACATTTTTTGACATTGATAGAAGTTGGACTGTACAGATAAAAACTGCTTTGACTTGATTGATGAAATTTAATTTAAGAGCGTAAGTTTACTTGAAGGTTTAAGTGTGCGTGTGGTTACCACGGTTTCCTGTTCAAGGTTTCACCATGGCGACCAGCTGAGATGCAGGGGCTCCGTGTTGCTAGGAGACGTGAGGGTCGGCAGGTAGAAACAGATTCACACACAAGATGGATTTTTTTCAGCTTTTTTTATTGAATGGAGTGAAACGTCTACATAAACAAGAGGCCTTGCAGTACATGAAAAAAAAAAAGTAAATTTATCTGTAATGAAAAAAAAAACAAAAAATCTGTGAGACGCTCAGAGAGGAGAGGTGAGGCTCAGACCCCCCTGGACCTCTCCCTCCAGAATCCCACCACAGCCTGTCCAGCTACGCTTCACACCAACTGGGACCGGATCGTCTCTTTCAGATCGGTTTGGTTTAAAACTTTGGTTTTCAGCCACATAAGATCAAATATCATTGAACAGGAAGCCCTGAACTCCTCATGTTAGGATGCAAGTTGTTTTTCTCCGTCGACTGTTAGATCATTCAGTTTCAGAGATTAATAAAACTTTTTATCTGATTGAATATACAGCTTCCTAAAATACAATTTTTTAGAAATTTATTGAATTTATTAAAGGCTTTTCATTGACATTTTTTACAGTGTAATATCGATTTCAAGATTTTGGGCTATTTTAAGATTGTAAACTCACTTGAATGTTTAATAGCTTTAAATGACATTTTTAAAATGTTTTCAAATCAAAGTTCTTCTTTAGAATAATTCTCTCCTATTAAACCTCAAATTCCATCAGCGCTCTTAAAAAGTTCCACCTTTATTTTGAAAGTCAGAAATGAGATGGAAGGTGGAATGGACTGCAGGAAGACCCGATGTCTCAACTCCCAGATGGACTCATGTCATCATGATTTCACCATTTCATAAAAACACTCATTTGTTTCCAATGATCAGTTTTAGTGATTAGATCTCACTGCCAGACTTCCTGCAGACCCCAGCAGGTCTTTCTGAGTCAGAACGTAGCGGAATGACCCTTTAGCTCCCACATCTCTGTGCTGTACAAAAGAAACTGAAAAGAAAAAGCATCACATTGAAAAGCAGGAACAGTTAAAATATCCATATACAGTATAAATGTAAATACTTGCTCCACAGAGCTCAGTCACACTATTGTTGGCATAAGAAAACGATGGATGTGTGTGTGTGTGTGTGTGTGTGTGTGTGTGTGTGTGTGTGTGTGTGTGTGTGTGTGTGTGTGTGTGTGCATGTGTGAGGACAAACACAGCATTTGAATGAGCAGCACCCCCCCCTCCCCCAATGGTAAAAAAAACAACAAAAAACAAAAAAAAACAGAAAGAAAGACGGCTGGCACGGAGGTGTGGTGTGGAGTACCAGCAAGCATCCAGTCCTGGTCGCTTTGAGATTTCCTCGGTTCAGTCTCATACTATGATATTTACTCTATGAGAAAATAAATAAGCACTCGGACCGGACCGCCTCGTCCCCCTCCCTCCCCCCAGCAGGTCGGAGGCCAAGGGACAGGAAGCAGAGAGGGACAAACGAGGAGAGGAAGAGAGGCCGGAGGAGCTAGGCCTGAGCGTTGGTGCCGTTCTTGTCGGGGGGCCCGGTGCCGGCCGGCAGGTTGTTGAAGGAGGGGCCCTCGTTCTGCTTGCTGTCGCGGCGGGGGGGCATCCGCTCGTTGATCAGGTCCAGACCCCGAGCCTCCTCAAAGCTCTGGATCTTATGCTGAGGGTTGAAGCCTTGGATGGCTGCAGGGAGGGAGAAGTCCGTTAGAGAACCAGGACCAGAACCAGAACCAGAACCAGACACAGTACTGGCAGCAGAGTCAGAACCAGTCTGAGATCAGCAGTAGCCATATTAGGAAGGTCTGAACCGACAGGTCAAAGGTCAACTCCAGACAGCTGTCTTTATCTGTGATTAATCACTAAGCTGAACTTTATCAGCAAAAACATAAAAATGAACATTTTGAAAAAAATGCTAAAGAAACGTTTGTGATTTTTGTGATTTTGTTTCTCCGGTTTGTGTCGGTGCTGTAGCTGCAGAACATCCCATAATACTGCTGCCGTTTCAGAAGCAGACGCTGTTCTGATGTCTGCTGCCCATCAACATCAACAATCTGCTTGAAAGTGACCAAAAGACAAACTTACTTCATGAGCAGAGAAAGACAGCATGGAGGAAACGAGAGTCAGTTTCATTAAACAGCAACTTTACATCCAGCTGTTAGAACCTGCTGCAGCATCTGGAAGCTTCTCTGTAGAACATCAGCTCTGTTCTCTGACACGGCAGCACGCTGGAGCAGAGCGACAATCCATCCAGACACCCAGCAGATGGATGGATGGATGGATGGATGGATGGATGGATGGATGGATGGATGGATGGATGGATGGATGGATGGATGGATGGATGGACGCTTGCTCTCACTTTTGGACATTAGGGACGTGTAACCATGGCAACAAGTGATTGTTTCTACAATTGGGAGCTGATTAGCATCTCAAAAGCTCAGAACTCTGAAAATGAGGCTTCAGGGATGCAGACAGAGACAGAGAGAGAGAGACAGACCGAGAGAGAGACAGAGAGAGACAGACCGAGAGAGAGACAGAGAGAGACAGACCGAGAGAGAGACAGAGAGAGAGACAGACAGAGACAGAGAGAGAGACAGAGAGAAAGACAGAGAGAGAGACAGAGAGAGACAGACCGAAAGAGAGACAGAGAGACAGACAGAGAGAGAGAGACAGAAACAGACAGAGAGTGAGAGAGACAGACCGAGAGAGAGACAGAGAGAGAGAGAGACAGACCGAGAGAGACAGAGAGACAGACAGAGAGAGAGAGATAGAGACAGACAGAGAGAGACAATCTGCTCCTCCATCCATCTCAGGAAACAACTGGATGGACTTGGGGTCCAAAACAAGAACCCAGACAGATGATGCAGGATCAGATCCCGACTCCGTCTCTCTGACCACACAGAGACGTAAATAGGAGTGGCAAAAGCAAAGGAGACGTAGCAGCAGTGAAGGAGTCACTCATATTGTGGAATATCAGATCCGATTTATCAATATCTGGTTCTATTGTGATCATGATAAAAGCGATAAGAACCATTTCTTCTTTCTGAGGTAACTTTAAGCTGAGCTGCATGGTGCAGCAATCAGAGCTCCAAGTTCACCTGGACCACACTGTAACTCTACTGTAACGTATTTTCACATTTGTTCAATGGTGAAAATAACAAAACCAACAATTCCAACAGTATGGACAGTTTGGGGAGTAAATGAAAAATCCTGTAATACATATACCATGACAAATGATCAGGGATGTGATGAATGTCCCTAGAGACGGCAGCAGGTGTCACTGGGGACACTGGGGCTGCATTTGGCTCGTCAACAGGACTGTGAACCTGAAAGGCCCAGTTAAAGTCCAAGCTTCTATGTCTGCAAATTTCCTTGCAAAAAAGGTTCTGGAGTGGGTTCAGTCAGGTGAACAGATGACGGCTCTGAGGTCATCGCTGGGTGGTCCAGTCCGGTTTGGTCCGGTCCGGCTCAGACGAGTTCAGGTTCTGAACTAGATCTACTTCTGCTCGTGGAGGTTCTGGACTCGGTTCTACATGGAACCCGTTTCTGCCCTCCAGCTCAGCTGCTGCTCTAAGGTTTTCCGTCCAGACAGAGAAGCTTCCAGAAGCACAGGCAGAGTTCCACAGAGACAGAGACAGTGTTGGACACAGACAGACGGACAGACAGACAGACAGACAGACGGACGGACGGACAGAAAGGGTAGCATACCTCGTGCCTCCTCTGCCTCTACGGTGGCTGTGTAAGCGTGAGTAGAAGTGCCATGCCCAAAACAACAGAGAGAGAGTGGGAACGTTATCAATGCATTCAGTCAGACACTTGATCAATGCAATCCATCAGTCCTGTTACCATGGAGCTGAACATCACACTAAGCCCCGCCCCCATCCTCAGCACGGCTCCATGGAAACGGAGCAGAACCACCCTATTAGCATGTAGTAGCACTACATGCTAATACAATCAGTTTGATCAACTATTGGAATAATCATAACTGGAGCTACTGCTAATGACATTCTGCAGTAACTTAGCAAAAACTGTACAAAAAATTAGAAACTCTTTGCATTAGAAGAAAAACTTATTTGTCTGTAAATATTGGAAGTTTTAGCTTCACTTGGTCCAAACTGCATCTTCTGCTGTCCAGTTATTAATCACTTAATATAATAACCTAACCTTACACTGTATTTTTTTATATATATATATATTATAATTATGATTGAATTTGATGTTCTGTCCAGCAGAAAGTCCTGAACTTCCAACATGTTGATTTTAAAGCTTTGCTACAAATGTTGGAGAGTTCACTAAAGTTCACTAAAGTTCA